GATTTCAGCTTTTGTGCCAAAAACCAAGTCCACTAGATCACAGCTAATAAAATTCTCTAAGACAGGCACAAGCACAAATAAATAGGAAAGTAGTTCTTTTTTACCATGTGATCTCTGATAAAAGCATGTGTAAACCTACTTTTGCTTCAGATCTTGGCTCATCTTTTTGGGGAATGGCTTTGATACTTGCGTCAACAAATCTCATAACTGCAAGAATAGCTGCTGGTTGTTTGGCTCTTGCTCTGTTTATTGTGCTTTTTATTGCTAAAAACGTAAGATTTTTCTCAATATTTGTCATTGTCTTGTCTTTGTTCTTAAGAAAGAGAGCATTGAAGTTTCTAATTAATTTATTCTTTTTACTTAACAGTGGACATTACGAGGACTTTGTATTGGTGAGTGTTTTCGTAACCTTTTGTCAATCTTCATTGTCTTAGTTGTCAGGCTCTTATCCTTACATCTTTATATCGTGGACTGATATCTCAGGGTTCATAATTTTTCTAGCCATAATTTGGCTTTTACAAGAGACAACTACAGTTCGCATTCTCCGTTATGTCATTCTCTTTATTGGTATGTGTTTATTGTTGCACCATAACCTATATTGACTGTTTAACATTCTTTACTACTTCCAGCCAATTTTTGCCAAATGATATAACTTGATTATAATTATAATGCAGGTGTGATGAATAGTCTCTTTTCAGTTTATGGTATGTCTCCATCATGTTCTTAGTTAGGAATACAAATAATTTTTTTTACATGCAATAGCTGTTATGAAATTACAAATTCGGAAATGCCAATTGATGTCAATGTAATTGACAGATATTTATGATGATCTAATATCTCGGAGGGTACACTCAAGTGATGCTGAGAAGTTTGCTGAAATTTGCCCTTGCCCCTGTAATGGTGTTGGCTGGGGAGTCATCTGGTAAGTGAATGTAGATATTTATGGGAGGCGGTATATATGTTGCTGTTGAAGACAGTGGATCACTTTTATAATTGCAGAATTCTCATTTATCATGTGTGCTCTTTTTGCAGGGGACTGATTTCATTTGTCTTTCTTTGTGCATCCATGTATCTTGGACTTGTCATCTTATCTTGAGGTATTGCCTGCTTTCCTAGGCTTGATTTTAATTTTCCTTTTTCAGATGAATTGGTGCTTAATTTATTCCTATTACTCTCCTTTACCAACACCTGTTAAAAACTGTTATTTGTGTGAGGGTTATTGCATAAGAATTTGATTTCATGACCTCATTTCACCCGAAGTTATTAGAAACAGAAAAAACATCGCTGATTAATTTTCTAAC